ATAGTCCCTGGGATATTGTAAGAGCTCAGCAAATGCTGTCTGCTGTTATCATCTATAGTATTGCTATTGGTGCTCTACCCCTTTTTAAAGGCCCCTCATTACTAATTTTAGTAGATATTTAAAGTGTAAAGATTCTATGCTGTTAAGAAAGGTGTGTTTCATTTGTTAGAAATCAGTTGATTGGCCGGGCGCAGTGGCTCACGCCTGTAATCCCAGCACTTTGGGAGGCCGAGGCGGGTGGATCACGAGGTCAAGAGATCGAGACCATCCTGGTCAACATGGTGAAACCCCGTCTCTACTTAAAATACAAAAAATTAGCTGGGCATGGTGGCGCGTGCCTGTAATCCCAGCTACTAAGGAGGCTGAGGCAGGAGAATTGCCTGAACCCAGGAGGCGGAGGTTGCGGTGAGCCGAGATTGCGCCATTGCACTCCAGCCTGGGTAACAAGAGCGAAACTCCGACTCAAAAAAAAAAAAAAGAAATCAGTTGATTGTAGATGCTATTTTGGTTAATATAGCTCTGTAGTATATTTGCAAGTTGGCTAGTGTGATGCCTCCAGCTCTTCATTTTCTTCAGGATTGCTTGTGTTAATCAAGGTTTTTATGCTTCTGTACAAAATTTAGGATTGTTCTATTTCTGTGAAAAATGTCATTGGAATTTTGGTGGGGAGTGTGTTGAATCCGTAGACCACTTTGGATTGTATGGATATTTCAACAATATTAAATTTTTCAGTCCTGGAGGAGAAAAGGGGTGTGTTTGCTGATACTGTGTATGTATATATGTGTATATGTAAATGAAATTGAATGGAGTGCAAAAGTACTGCAAGTCCTAGTAGAACTTAGGTTGATAGGTGGTATATGTAGGTACACTTTCTTGAATGTCATCCAAATTTATTGATAATTGATATTTTATTGCATTGTTTCTGGGCTGGGAGTAGTGGCTCATGCGTGTAATCCCAGTGATTTAGGAGGCTGAGGTGGGAGGTTTGCTTGAGCCCAGGAGTTTGAGGCTGCGGTGAGCCATGATTGGGCCACTGTACTCCAGCATGGGCAACAGAGTGAGACCTTGACTCAAAAAAAAAAAAAAAAAAAATTTCTTTTAATCACTGTTATCTCATGGTGAGTTATATGATGTAAAATTCAACGTCATTTCCTATTCCTTGTCAATAGCACCTTGCTAGGCAACTGTCACTTGTATTTAAAATAATTTTGCTGTTTGGGGCAGGGAGTTGTGTCTCACGCCTGTAATGCTGAAGTGGGCAGATCACCTGAGGTAAGGAGTTTGATACTAGCCTGGCCAACATGGTGAAACTCCCCCCCTCTGCCAAAAAATACAAAAATTAGCCGGGCGTGGTGGCATGTGCCTGCAGTCTCTGCTACTTGGGTGGCTGAGGCACAAAAATTGCCTGAGCCCAAGAGACAGAGGTTGCAGTGAGCTGAGATCATGCCACAGCTCTCCAGCCTGGGTGACCGAGTAAGACTCTGTCTCAAAAAAAAAAAAAAAAAAAAAAAGTATATCTATCTATTTATCTATCTGTCTATCTTATCTATCTATATATATTGCTATTTGGATTTATAACAGTATGGCTTTGGAAATACGTGTTATTTTAAAAGTCTACACTTTGTATTCTCTTGTGTCAGTCCTTTTATTTAACTGCTTTCTTTGCATTTTATTCATTCTATATGCTAGGACATTTTATTGGTTCTCTTTGGGATATTTTTGTATGTGCCTGCTGCTGTTTTCCTTTTTTTTTTTTTTTTAAGAATGTAATATTGTAGTTTAGCTGTTGGATTCATTTTCTAGGACTTTCACAACAAATTACTACAAATTAGATGGCTCTAAAATAATAGGAAGTTTTCTCTCACATTTCAGGAGGGTAGAAGCCCAAAAGGAAGTGTACACAGGGCAGATTCTAGGGGAGAATCCTTTCTTGCCTCTTCCAGCTTCTGGTGGTTCCTGGCATTTCTTGGCTTCTGGAAGCTTAACTTCATTTTCTCTCTCTGTCACATGCTCTTCTTCCTCTATGTGTGTGTGTGTATGCCTTGTCTTTTTCTTATAAGGACAGGATTCATTGGATTTAGGGCCTGCTGTAAATCTAGGATGATTTCCTCTTGAGATCCTTAACTAATACACCTGCAAAAACCTTATTTTCAGATAAATTCACAATATGAGGTTCTGGGGGGACATGAGGCTTGGGGGCACACTATTCAACCCACCACAGATGTTCAGGGAGTATTTACATGTTTTAAGCTCTGAAAAGAGGTAGGAAACAGGACTAAATAATGTCAACTACTTTGCAATTTGCAGAAATGTTACCTTGGGCCACTCTGCAGACTGAGAGTTCACAGCGATGTGCTCTAGATAGAAGTCCCAAGTGAAAGACTAACTGCTAGGGCATGGAGCATAGGCCTACCCTCTGGAAGTAGCTGTTAGCAAGCTAGAAATAGGTGATGATCTAAAATGTATATAAGACTATGAGGCCAGGCATGGTGGTTCATGCCTGTAATCCCAGCACTTTGGGAGGCTGAGGTGGGTGGATCACCCGAGCCCAGGAGTTCAAGACCAGCCTGGGCAATGTGGTGAAACCTCAGTTTTACAAAAAGTACAAAAATTAGCTGGATGTGGTGGCGCATGCCTGTAGTCGTAGCTACCCTAGAGTCTGAGGTGGGGGGATCACATAGGCCTGGGAAGGTTGAGGCTGCAGTGAGTGAGCTGTCATCATGCCACTGCACTCCAGCCTATCTCAAAAAAAGAAGCAGACTGGCTAGTTTGAGCACCATAATGTGAAATTCTATCATACTGTAAATTGTGATAATTTACATGGAAATATAGTATAGTGATTAAGAGCATAAGGACTTTGAGAATCACATTCTCTGGTTTCATATTCTGTCTCTGACCCTGATTATATGCTTGGACTGTGGGTAAATTGGTGTACCTCTGCAATGTCTAATTAAAGTAAGGGTTAAAGAAGACCTTAATACATGTAAAGTCCATGGAACTGTCTGGCATATAATAACTGCTCATTTAATGTTTGATGCTGCTATATCTATCATCCTCAGGAGAGAGAAACGCATCATCAGAAAGATTTATACCTTTGATTGTTTTCCTAGCAGTGAGGGTAAATTTTTACTGATGAATTCGTAGATTCCTACCCACTCTTACCTTAGGAAAATATGCTTTCAGATTGTCTAGTTAGAGGTTGGGGGCAGTAGAGGACATGAGAATGAGATAACAGGTTCCTGACTGGCAGCAGTGGCTCATGCCTGTAATCCCAACATTTTGTAATCCCAGCAAGTTGGGAGGATTGCTTGAGGCCAGGTGTTTGAGACCAGCCTGGGCAACATGAGACTTCCTCTCTACTAAAAATAAAGCTGGACGTGGTGGTGTGTGCTTGTTGGCCCAGCAATTTGGGAGGCTGAGGCGGGGGATCACTTGGGTCCGGGAGTTTGAGGCTGCAGTGAGCTATAATTGCACCACTGCATTCCAGCCTGAGTGACAGAGTGAGACCCTGTCTCAAAAATGAATAAAAAAATTAAAAAGGAAACAGGTTATTCGTTTCATTAACAAGGCATTCTAAACACTGAGTAGCCATTTTAGTGATGTATAGAACTTGTTCCCTGGCAGACTTTTATAGTGAGTTTTCATTTATAGTACATTGAGCAAATCCACCTTTATGTCCTGAGGGTATCAGCCTGACTTTTAATGTAAGTCTGTTAAATACCTTGTCTCTGAAGTTCTTTAAACAATCTAATTTTGAAGTTGTTTTCAAGTGAATAGATAGGTAGATAAACTGCATGTTTTAGCAGGCATTTCAGGATGTTTTGCAAGTAATCATTTACTAAAAGATTTGTTGTGGGAATGTGGTTTTCCTTCCCCTTAGTTTTTAATGTTCCTCCTGGAGGTGTATGTTACTAATAACACTTCTTTGAAAAACCACACTGATTGATAGAGTCCTGCAGTGTAGTTTCCTGAACTTCCTAAAAGCTTTGTAAATAGATTACTAGAATTCATAGAGGATAATGATACCATTAGAATTCACAGAGGATGATGAGACCAAGTATTAAACATTTTGCCAGACAAGTTCTTCTCTCTCTCCCCAGCCTAATTGCTGGTCTTTTAGCATTATGCAAAGAAGAGAGGAGACTGGTTCTCTGTCTGCTATATACATATGTTATCTCAGTTAAACTTAACACCTGTACAGGTATTATATTATTTTTTGAGACAGGATCTCACTTTGTTGCCCAGGCTGGAGTGCAGTGGTGCAATCACAACTCATTGCAGCCTCTACCTCCTGGCAGAAGTGATTCTCCCACCTTGGCCTCCCAAAGTGCTGGGATTATAGCCATGAGCCAGTGCACCTGGCTTGTACAGGTAGTTTCTTATTTTATGTAAAGAAACCTAGGCTCAGAGACATGGAAGCTGTTCACTGTCATGTATCTACAAAATGGTGGAGTTAGTATTTGAATCTAAACCTTTCTGGGTCTGTTCTTTTTGCTCTTTTCCAACATATGCTATTGCTTCTCTAGATTAGGGAGCTCAGACAACCACTATGTTGTATATAAAGAAAAGAAGAAAGTACTTAAGTGTAGTACCGAGCTTAAATTATGTCTTTGATTATTTGATCTTTTGGAAATACTTCCATGTTTAGTTCTCAGTATATGAGGAAATGAGAAAGGAATGGGATGGGGTAGGGTGTGTGCACACAATTGAGGAAAATGGATTATTTGAATGGTGTAGTCCTTGAAGATGTGTCCTGTTACATATCCTCCTTTTCAATTTGTTTATTTATCTTCAGCAGAAAGATTCTTCTCCAGTTTTCTATCATCATCTGAAACCTTTTCAAGGTTTTGCCTTTAGGTTACAGATAGGTTTTTCAGGCAGAAGAATACCTTTCAATATAGTTAACCTCTTAAGAGGACTTTACTGCTGCTGCTATTAGTAGTCTCTTCTGACAGTTAAAGATATTGTAGGAGATTGAAATAATTGTTTTTGTCTTGTAGATTAACTGCTGAAGTACTGATCGAGTTCTGCATTTCTTCAATGAGGAACTACAGGCTGATCTTCTGCCATAATCTCAAACAGCCATAAATGACAAAGGAATGCTTGCTCAGTGAGGGTAGCTGGTGCAGAAGCCATTTTTTAAACTTAGGTATTTAAGTACTGAAAGGTAAGTTTTCGAAATGGTAACTGTCATGCTCTATAAATTCATAGAGATTTTGGAACTTGTCCCCTGTAGCTACTATTTGATTTAACTTGAGGTGTTGTAGTTCTTAGCTGGCACCAGATACATTGAGGAATGGATGTTGCTTGTCTGAGACTATGTAAATGTATGGCATTTTGCTGTCCCTAAGTTAATTTTTTCTTTTCCTTTAAGTTGGCTGCATTGTTTCCTAGTCGTGTTGTGACACTCTACCAGTGGGTATACATTTGATCCAGTGGACCTTATTTTTGTAAATTTAAGAATTTTAGTAGACTTATCTTTGTGATTTACTGTCCTTCTCTTGCAGTGAGAAAGAAATTGTTTATCTTGTGTGATGGAAAAAAGACCAGCTGGTGTCATTTTGTTCATTATCAACCTTTGAGTTTTTCTTTCTTTTACAAATACTCTTTTCCTACATAAAGTAATAAATATAGTGTGTTTATTTTAGAAAACAAATTTTTCTTGGGATTACTTGTTCTCTGATGTGTCAGGTATTGGAAATGGCCATCTGAGACATTGTTTTCTCCCACTTCTTTACTGATCACAATTCCTGCAAAATTAGGGCAAGTAACTATTTCTTCTGAACTGGATGGCTCTGACAGTTTTTCTTTTGGATAATTATGAAATAACAGTGTTGAAGCCAGGCGCAGTGGCTCGTGCCTGTAATCCCAGCACTTTGGGAGGCCAAGGTGGGTGGATCACCTGAGGTCGGGAGTTCAAGACCAGCCTGGCCAACATGGTGAAACCCCATCTGTACTAAAAATACAAGCCGGGCATGGTGGCTTGTGCCTGTAATCCTAGCTACATGGGAGGCTTAGGCAGGAGAATCGCTTGAACCGAGGAGGCGGAGGTTGCAGTGAGCCGAGGTGGCATAATTGCACTCCAGCCTGGGCAAAAAGAATCAAACTCTGTCTCAAAAAAAAGAATAGTAGTGTTGATAAAAGGACATCTCTTATTGAAAGTTGTTGTCCAGACTTGAAAAATTTCTTTTTTATAAAAATGTATTATAGCTGCTCTGTCATGTAGAAATAAGAACTTGTTAATCTTGTTCTTATTAGCCCATCATTGATAAAAAGCGTTTATTAGATCATCACTTTTTAGGAAGGATTTTGTCCTGTTTGGGTTTATGAGGGGTTAGATGAAATTTATATGGCACAGTCCAGAATGGGTTTGGATTTACCTGTGTCATTAATAGGCTTGTTCAGCAAAGGTTTTCTTGGAGCCAGATTTGCTCCTTAATTTGTCTTTGAGGCAATGTCTCTTGCTAAATCTTGGATGATTAACTTTGCCATTGTTGATAAATATGCAAGCATTAAAGGGAGCATTCAGCACTAACTGTTCGTAATAGGGAATATGTTTAGGTAATTATACTGAACTTCATCTGTAGAATACACTATAGGCCTGATAACTGGAACATACTTAAATAGATGAGAACACATTCAGGTGTAAAGCATTTTTCTTTAATGTATCTAGTCATATTGCCACCTGTTAATCATTATAGTCTTTTTTTTTTTTGTCTTTCGTTTGGCAGAAAAGACAGCTTTGATTTCTGGCTGCAAAAAAGATATGAGGAAGAGCTCCTCCCCTTCCTTGAGTAACTGCAACTCCGTTCTTGCTAACAAAATATTTGGAATTCCACTTGATGAGCTGCAGCAGGGAGGACATCCAGACAATGAGGTTCCATTCATAGTCCGCCACGTTGTGGACTATATTGAGGAACATGGTATACATTTCCTTACTTTGAGGGCTAGCTTTTGTTTTAATAAACACAACTTACCCTTTTTGACCTTGGATTTTTAATTTTTTGTTTTTTTTTAGTATGGAAAGTCCAAAACATAGGAAAACCTAGGAATTCTTTTTAATGTTTTAGTGTGATTTTTACTTAAATTCATATACTTGGAAATGACAGTTGCCCAGCCTAGAACAAGTTTTAGTGGGGGTGATAGGAATATTTTTAATGGATATAAGGGGTGGGATAAAATAGAATAGCCCTCAGAACAGAGATAATATGTTTCTAGATGTATAATTTGAAGGTTTTTAGTCAAATCATGGGAGCCAAGAAAGGCTTTCCAAAGCACGAGTATTTTAAGTTAATTGGAGAATGAATATATGTGGTCAAGCAGTTGACATTGCAGCACATTTAATGATTGCCTTGAACTAATGTAGGAGGTCTGGAGCAACAAGGACTTTTTCAAGTCAATGGAAATGCTGAGACAGTGGAGTGGCTTCGGCAGAGATACGACAGCGGAGAAGAGGTGGATTTGGTTAAGGAAGCAGATGTTCCCTCAGCTATTAGCCTTCTTAGATTTTTTCTACAAGAACTTCCTGAACCTGTTATCCCTGGCAGTTTACATATTCACTTGATGCAGCTTTCTCAAGGTAACATAATGTGATACTTATCAGTAGGTCATTTATTGTTAATGTCATAGTCTTTACCTTTTAGAGATCTTGACATGTAAGCAGTAAGTATAGTATTTTAGATATTTGTTATTTTCTCACTTGCTTTTTGGGGCTGTATGATCTTGTCAAGGGAAATGCAACTTCCTGGATCCCTCTAGTACCATTTACTTTTTGTGATTGGTCTTACTAGCCTAAGATACAGGGTGAAGAGGAAAAGGAAGAGACAAGAACAAGGAGTAGGAGGGTCATCAAAAAAAAAAAAAGAAAATTATGTAAGGTAATGTGTGTGGTGGCATAATGTCCTATAGTAGCCAAAGGTGTTGCTTAGTGGTGATACTACTAATATTAGAGTTACTTATCCCTGGTTTGGTAGAATTTCCTAGCAAAAAAGCAAGAAGACAACTTTGATTCTAGGCTTGGAATATACCTAAAGCTTGTTCTTGGACGCTTACCTAAAGGAAATGAATATCAAATTGAACATCAGACTCTAAGCCAAAGAAACAAAAAAAGATTTATCTTTGTCGGGTTTTTTTTGGTGGTGACTAAAAGTAGCGCTTAGCTAGAGTGGAATAGGAACAGGAAAAATAATGGTAGAGGCAGCAGAAAGGTAAAAGAACCAAGAAGTGATGAAAGGCTTCTGTTCCTAGAGCCAAATGGTATTCATGTGTATGTAATGGAGGGACATGCTTCATTATATAGGGAAAATGTGTAAAGTTGGCATATAACGTTATATATTTCTTGAATTTTAAAATTACCTTTTCAGGCTTTTTTGGTATTATGGAGTTCAATTATTTTTGAATCGGGTCTTCTAAAGCAATTCAGTTATGCTAAGAATTATAACTACTTCCTTTATACCTATCCCTATCACAGCTGGGCATTCTATAATGTGTGTGTATATATCCTTAAGTATTATGTTGTCAGAAAAAGTGTATTTTCTTTTGAAAGTGTTTATCCATCTTCTTCTTAAATTTTAAATTCCTATGAACCTAAATTAGTTAGGTGTCTCTGATTCATACATAAGGGTCAATGCAAAGACGTTCTGTGACCCTCTTACACAAGTTTTCTGTGCAGCTAAATCATAAGGCTCACTTTGAACTTAACCTGATTCACTGCTGTTCTTTTACTCTATAACGTGGATCAAAAAACAGGCTTCAAAACAAAACGTTATTAGTAAGGCTACCCTTTTTCCAAAGTGTCACTTTAATTTTTCTCCCCCTAAATATTACATTTTTTTTGTTTTGAATTTTTGAATTCATTTTATTCTTACAGGAATTTTTCTTTTTTCTTTTTTTTCCCCTTTTTAGTAATGGTGTCTTTTTATTGATAGCTTCCCAATAGCATCTGTAAACATCGGGTACAAAAATATCCCATTAAATTCTTTCCCGAGTGGCTCCGTTTGTTCCATGGAGGCCCTCAGAGAGGCCTACTGAGCCCTCAGGTTCCACTAACCTGTGTTCCGAGAAACAGGCCTCAGCACGCTCAGGGCTGAATGGACGGCCCGCCAGCCTTCCTCTTGAGCCTTTGACCTATTTCAGAAACTTCCTTGAGATACCGAGGAGAAAGTATTTGATAGTTTTACAGAGGAAAGGGCAGGAAAAGCAGAATTAGCGGGTGCAGGGGTGAGCGGGGGCGAACTCACACGAGACCATGCTTGTGCGCCTCAAGGAGGTCCTGACCAGAGGTGGGGGACATCTGGCTCTGGTCTCTGGGAACCTTTTTAAGCATTATTCACAGCAGACATGAGGCTCAGCTCTGGAAAAATTCCCGTGCCCAGCCCCGCAACTCCTGCTGGGATGGGCATGCCCTGGCATGGCAGAGGAGTCTTGCAGAGGAGATGTGTTCTGAGGAAGGAAGGAGCCAGAATGAAAGACCCCCCTCAGCAATCCACACCCTTCGAGAGAGCCCTGTCTCCCTGGGAGCCTGGGTGACAGAATGGGGCAGCAAAGGCACCCTGGGTGACAGAACAAGGCAGGGTCATCTGCTGCCACCTTGTATGCCGCTGCCCTGAGACCCTCAAGGCACCAGGCAGCAGGGCTACTCGCCCATCTCCTCATCATCTGTCTGGCTGCGCCCATTGATGGCTGGGGGACTGGGCTGGACATGGGACAGGTCCTCGAAGCCGGGGCTCAGGGAGGGTGAGATGGTGTCAGGGCTGGTGTCACAGGAGCCCGTGCTCTGCTCTGAGGTAGCGATGGTGATCGTGGTGCTGGGTGGGATGGGGTCTTCATCCTCATCCTCCAGGAAGGATGCCTCCGGGATGTGGCTGAAGGCCTCTGGGTGCTGCTGGACCAGTTTCCCTTTCAGTGTCCTGGTCTGGCGGAAGATGCTGACCAGGTCCCATTTCATCTCTACCAGGGTCCTCGTGTGGTGCAGGAAGCACTCGCTCATCTGCTGCAGGCGGGCACTGGACAGGTTATTGAAGTTCAGCAGCATCTCATTGGTCTTCTCAAAGCGGTCCAGCATGTTCTTCTGGGCCAGGATGATGACGTTGACGTCATCTGTGTTCACCTTGCTCATGATGCGGCTGCAGAAGACCCTTGAGGCCGATTCCGGGAGGTCCATCTCTTCCTCCTCCTCCGCTGCCTGCACATCTGGCGGCCTTGTTCGCGCTTCTGCGGAATTTTTCAAACGTTTATATTGAGACACCTAATAAACATTTTGCTTTTATTTTTTTATTTTAAAAATTATTTTTATTTTTTTTGTGTGGTGAGTTTTACTCTTGTTGCCTGGGCTGGAATGCAGTGGTGCATCTTGGCTTACTGCAACCTCCACCTCCCAGGTTCAATTGATTCTCCTGCCTCAGCCTCCTGAGTAGCTGGGATTACAGGCATGCACCACCACACCCAGCCAGTTTTTGTATTTTTAGTAGAGATGGGTCAGGCTGGTCTCGAACTCCTGACCGCAGGTGATCACCCACCTCGGCCTCCCAAAGTGCTAGGATTACAGGTGTGAGTCATTGTGCCTGGCCTTTTTTATTTTTATTTTTTGAGGTGGCATCTTGCTCTGTCACCCAGGCTGGAGTTCAGTGGTGCCATCTCACCTCACTGGAACTTCTGCCTCCGAGGGTCAAGCGATTCTTCTGCCTCAGCCTCCTGAGTAGCTGGGACTACAGGCGCCACCATGCCCGGCTAATTTTTGTGTTTTTTTTAGTGGAGATGGGGTTTCACCAGATTGGCCAGGCTGTTCTTGAACTCCTGACCTCGTGATCCACCTGCTTCAGCCTCCCAAAGTGCTGGGATTATAGGCATGAGCCGTTGTGCCTGGCCTGCATTTTGCATTTATTAAATATGAACAGAAATCGATATGGTAAAATTTTTTTGAGCCTTTAAAAATAACTCTAGAGCTATTCTCTTTATAGTCATAGGTTTACATGTTCCCTCTGTTAGCTGAATTGCAGACACATGTTTAAAGTTCCAAGAGTCAGATAATCTTTCAGTCCTGAATGAAAATTTTTAAATTGATAATTGGAATGAGATTTAATGGAAGCAAAGTCATTGACTCACTGATTCTATCTATCAGAAGCTATTTATTTTTCACTGGGATCATAATTTCAATTGGTTTTCTTTTATTTATTTGTTGTCGTTTTTTGTTTTTTGTTTTTGAAATGGTCTTGCTGTGTTGCCCAGGCTGGAGTGCAGTGGTGTGTTCCTAGCTCGCTACAGACTTGATATCCAGGGCTCAAGTGATCCTCCCACCTCAGCCTCCTGAGTAGGTGGGACTACAGCCATGTACCACCATGGCTGGCTAATTTTTTAAATTTTTTATTTTTTGTAGAGATAAGATCTTGCTTTGTTGCCCAGGCGGGTCTTGAACTCCCGAGCTCAAGCAATCCCGTCTCAGCTTCCCAAATCACTGGGATTACAGGTGTGAGCCATTGTATCTGGCCTCGTTTTCATTTAAAATTATGACAACATCATCAACTATGTTGACATTCATGGAATTACAGCATGCATCTTATTAATTATTCTTATGTTAACATTCACTTGTGAAGGAATTTAAGATATGCAAAAATGCTTATGGTGCATAAGTGCTTTCATGTTTAATATGAGAAATCCACTGTCGTCTTCTGTTTTCCACTTATACATACATAATCATTAGCGTGTGTATGTATGCACATGTACTTACATGTATACCCATTTCTTTAATAGCTATGCAGCTAGGTATGGTAGTATTTGAGGTGATATTTGCATTTATGTTGTAATATCATCTGTTTGTTCATTCTTCAGTCATTCTTTTGAGAAAGTGTCTAGATCTCTGAACAAAGATTCCTTTCTTCTTCTTCTTTTTTTTTTTTTAAATAGAGATGGGGTTTCACCATATTGGTCAGGCTGGTCTCGAACTCCGAACCTCAGGTGATCCACCTGCCTTGGTCTCCCAAAGTGCTGGGATTATAGGCATGAGCCACCTTGCCTGGCCCTTTCTCCCTTTATTTATTGTAGATAATTTTGTTTGTTTCTTTTATTTTTTGAGACAGAGTCTTGCTCTGTCACCCAGGCTGGAGTGCAGTGGCACAGTCTTGGCCCCCTGCAACCTCCGCCTCTCAGGTTCAAGTGATTCTTGTGCTTCAGACTCCTCAGTAGCTGGAACTACAGGCATGTGCCACCATACCTGGCTAATGTTTGTGTTTTTAGTAGAGATGGGATTTTACCATGTTGGCCAGGCTGGTCTCGAACTCCTGACCTCAAGTGATCCACCCACCTTGGCCTCCCAAAGTGCTGGGATTACAGGCATGAGCCATAGCACCCAGCTGTAGATAAATAATATGATATTATTTTAATGTTCACAAATACATGACAGAGTTACTGCTTTTAAGATCATGGAGGAAGCCTTGTTGCAGTTGTATTTCAGCTTTTGTTTTTAATAAGTGGTTTCATTTTTCTGTGGTAGCAGGATAGTGCATTCACTGGTGTGGTTAAACCTTGTATTTAGACTAGGGTTTCACAGCCTTGGTACTGTTGATTTTGGGCTGGATAATTTTTTGTGATAGGGGGTTGTATACTGTAGGATGTTTAGCAGCATCCCTGACCTCTACCAAAGGCACTGTCTTCCTCAAAGTCATGACAGCCATTCATTATCAAATGTTGACAATTCCTGGTTTAGACCGTAATGGTTAGTCCAGTGGCTTATACATTGTGTTTTTGTAGAAAACATAGCTAGCAGTTTTGTGGATTAGTTAGAACGTTTCCAAAAAATGTTACAGTACTTGAAGGAATTATTAGGGGAAACTTCCCATATATTATTTTTTCTGGATATGATTTAACTAGAAAGTAGACTCCAAAGGAAAGAAATTTAAGCAAGTATGTATATATTTAATATATTTTGAAATGCTTCTCTGCCTTACTTGAAGACTTTAGAAACAGGTCTGTGTAGGTATAAATATGTAGTAGAAATGTACCCAAACAACTTTGGATAATGTGGCTAGTATTTCAAACAAAAACAGTATTGCCCACAAGCTTATCACCTTGTCAAGTCAAATGGTGTAGTAAGTTCAACATCTTTTTTCAGATATTGTACATTCATTTAGTGAATTCAACTAATGTTTATTGAACATCTTCTATATGCTAGGCATTGCTCTAGATCAGCAGTCCCCAACTTTTTTTGACACCAGGGATGGGTTTTGTGGAAAACATTTTTTCCACTGATGGGAAGGGGGAATGGTTTTGGGATGAAACTGTTTCAACTCAGATCATTAGGCATTAGATTCTCATAAAGAATGTACAACCTAGTTCCCTTGCATGCACAGTTCACAGTAGCATTTTTGCTCCTATGAGAATCTGACTCGCTGCTCACCTCCTGCTGTGTGGCCCAGTTCCTAACAGGCCACAGATGGGTCCGCAGCCCCAGTTGGGAACCCTTGCCCCAGATGCTGAGAATTCAGCACTGAAAAAAAAACTAGATCTGCTGATTTCAGTGCTAGGCAGCACTGAAAATATCTGCCTCATGGTTGGGCATGGTGGTTCACGCCTGTAATCCTAGCACTTCGGGAGGCTGAGGCCGGAGAATCGCTTTAGCCTAGAAGTCCTAGACCAGGCTGGGCAACATAGGGAGACCCTGTCTCTACAAAAACTTCAAAAATTAGCCAGCTGTGGTGGCATTTGCTTATGGTTCTAGCTACTTAGGAGGTTGATGTGGGATGATTGTTTGTGCCTGGGAGGTTGAGGCTGCAGTGACCCTCTGTGGTCATGCTACTGCACCCTACCCTGGAGCAATAGCCTGTCTCAAAGAAAAAAAAAAAATTCTGCCTTAACAGAACTAAAATGCTATAGGGAATAAGGGAAGATGGATAAATAGATGATAAAAATAAACCTATGGATGGGTATGCTAGATGACAAGTGCCACAGAGCTGGAGACAATGTTAGGTAGAATTTGTCAGTGTTGATATCTTCATTGTATTGATAATATTAACTGCTTGCATTTTTAATATGTGATTTTCTAAAATAATCCTTTTCTGCTGAATGCTTAGGTTGTTAAAATTTCCAATCAGCTATAGGTACAGTGATTTAAACATAAATCCAGGGACTATTCCATCCAATTTTAAAATTGAAGTACTGGTGCATTTGAATGGACAGTTGATAATATTGCAAAATATAGAAGAGTTGTTATTGGTTGCATTTTAAATTTTAAGTAAAACTCATGTGACTGTAGCCTTTCTTGATAAATAAACTTTTATTTATTTATTTATTTATTTTTTGAGACAGCGTCTCTCTCCGTCACCAGGCGCCAGGCTGGAGTGCAGTGGCGTGATCTCGGCTCACTGCAACCTCCGCCTCCCGGGTTCAAGCAATTCTGCCTCAGCCTCCCGAGTAGCTGTGACTACAGACATGCGCCACCATGCCCAATTTTTCTTTTTTTTTTTTTCCCCGCAGAGATGGGGTTTCACCATGTTGGCCAGGATAGTCTCGATCTCTTGACCTGGTGATCCGCCCGCCTTGGCCTCCCAAAGTGCTGGGATTACAGGCGTGAGCCACCGTGCCCGGCTGTCCTTTCTTGATAAACTTAAAATTTTTTTTCTTTTTTTTTTAATTTTTGAGATAGGGTTTCACTCTGTCACCCAGGTGCAGTGGCGTGATCTTGACTTACTACAACCTCTGCCTCTCAGGCCCAAGCCATCTTCTCACCTTAGCCTCCTGAATAGCAAGGACCACATGTGTTTGCCAGTACACCTGGCTACTTTTTGTATTTTTGGTAGAGGTGGGATTTCGCCATGTTGCCCAGGCTGGTCTCGAGCTCCTGAGCTCAGGCAGTATGCCTGCCTCAGCCTCCCAAAGTTCTGGGATTACAGGCGTGAGCCACTGTACCAGGCCAAAATTTTTTCTTAAACATAGTACTGGAGTTCTATTTCCTGATGAACTTTCTAGACTAGTATTATTTAGCAGAGATGGCTAATATCATGACCATAACCTTTTACCAAGAGTTTTTCAATAAAATAATTTTAAGAACCTGGGGAAAATATAAAATGAAACATAATTGAGTTGGTTTTTACTCATGAAGCAATAAATCACTTCATTTCGAGAGGACCTCTGAGCACTCTTTTCTCCCAAATGGGATCCTCACCAATCAAGTGGGATTAATATGGGTCTAGTTTCTGTTAATGAAAACTCATTGACATGATAAATACAGGGCCTAACTTGTGATAAAGTTTGCTTGATAAGCAGAAACCAACATCAATTTAGAGTAGAAAAACCGAGGAGAAATGAAAGACTTTTTAATTTAGTTCTGCTGATATTGTTGAAGTTAATTGTTCATTTCAGGAAACCAGGAGAAGAAAATCACTCTGTTACCTTGTTCGTTCCTTGTTTTTCATTTCGTCCAAGCTGAAAGATATCACTGATGCTATTAGCCCCTCAAATTGTATCTCTGCTTTGCTCCCTAGTGGTTTGTATTGACTGGCATGGCCAGTGCATTTTGACTTCTTAGTGTTGGCACTAATGTGGAAACACAGGTACGTTCATGCTGGAGACAGTAGGATGAGAATTAAAAAAAAAAAAACCAAAAAAAAACTAGAGAATTGGAGCCAATGAGTAATAGATGAGGAAAACATCCTCCAGCAATTAAGGGGTTGAGTTCCTTTTTTCCAGCTCCCGCTCTCCACCTCTTCTTCATTTCATAAGTGAAATGCAAAGTCCTAAGGCATTTGGCCCCAGTAGAGGAAGTGAAGAGGTTTTGAATTGTTGTAGTAAAAGGTGATGTGGGTGGAGTAATGTGAACCTGGCAAAATATCAGAGCTTTGCTTTTTGCTTTATTAAAAAAAAACAACCTGTCATTATATTTTATAGATTATAATAATGAAGATGAATTTGGAAGAAAGTTGAGGTTCCTCTTGCAACAGCTTCCACCTGTTAATTACAGTTTGTTAAAGTTTCTGTGTAGATTTTTAGCCAATGTAGCATCACATCATGAAGAAATTTGGTCTGCAGATTCTTTGGCTGCTGTCTTTGGTCCAGATGTCTTCCAGTAAGTTGTTTGAAAAATTTTTGTTTAATTTTTAAAAATTAGATATGTGAAATAGAATCATTATATTGTCTCCCAAGGATCATAGGTTGCTCAGCGAACCATTATTTTTTATACTAGATCTGATTAATCCTTACAGCATTTTTGTGAACAGGGTACAAATTAGGTAGGTAGGTTTTCCAGATGGGAAAATGGAAGCACAGAATGGTGTTATAAGTTGCCCATATTTATGAAGCGGTTCACTGGTTTTCTTCCAATTTTACCTGTGATTGATTTAAGAACTCTCAATTCAATTTGGACTTTTATTCTTAGCATATACACAGATGTGGAAGATATGAAAGAGCAAGAAATAGTGAGCAGGATCATGGCTGGACTTCTGGAAAACTACTATGAGTTTTTCGAGAATGAAGAGGAAGATTTTTCATCTAATGATTTGAGTTCAATTACTGAACAGGTGAGACTATTCTATTTGGATGGATAATTTTTTTTTTTTTTTTTAAGAATGATATGCTCGCCGGGCGCGGTGGCTCAAGCCTGTAATCACAGCACTTTGGGAGGCCGAGGTGGGTGGATCACAAGGTCAAGAGATCGAGACCATCCTGGTCAACATGGTGAAACCCCGTCTCTACTAAAAATACAAAAAATTAGCTGGGCATGGTGGTGCGTGCCTGTAATCCCAGCTACTCAGGAGGCTGAGGCAGGAGAATTGCCTGAACCCAGGAGGCGGAGGTTGCGGTGAGCCGAGATTGCGCCATTGCACTCAAGCCTGGGTAAAAAAAACCAAAATCCAGTTGAAGTATATCTAAAAAAAAAAAAAAAAAAGAATAATATGCTCTTAAAGACTTGCCACAGACATATGTGGAATTTAAGTCGTGACCTAGAAGTAATTATCTTGGTTAGTATATGTAATATCAGTAGGTGGCACGTTTATGATTTTTTTTTCCTAAGTAACATCCTGTCTTCTGTAATTCAATTAATAAGGAAAAGGCACTGAAATCAGAGTATACGGTAGAGATTTTTTGTTTTTGTTTGTTTTCTAACTATTGTTATTTTGTAAGGATAATGCAATGTGTTTGTTTTTGTTTTTTTTTTTTTTTTTGTAGAGAAACTTCTAGTGTAGAGGAATATAGGCAAGGAGTGAGAAATTTAGAGGGAAAGATTCAGTACAAATTTTTTAAAATTTGAAGTTTTTCTTCAGTAATACAGCAGATTAACACAATGGTAGAATTGTCATTAATGAGAAACATCTGGATATTAATCGTTTAAGTGGCAGGTAATTTTTAAATTCTGGTAACTAGATTATTAAAATCTCTTTCTGAGGTTACATTATAATATTTTAAAAAATTGTTTCATTTTTTACAGAGACAGGGTCTTGCTATGTTGCCTAGGCTGGTCTTGAACTCCTGACTTTAAGCAAGCCTCCTGCCTTGGCCTCTGAAAATGTTGGGATTATAGGCATAAGCCACTGCATTTAGAAGCTTATAATCTTGATGGTTGAGACTATACAGGCTCATACTTTCTCCTTTATGAAATGGGAATATTGAAGCTGAGTAATTACAATTTATTGCAAAGCCATATTAGTTCAGTCTTCTCAGGTTTAAAATTTGTGATTTAGGTCTATGTTGAAGTTTTTCTTCTGCACTTAAGTGGTTTGCCACCAAACTTTTATTAACATTAAAACCTGTGAAGTCACTTTTTTTTAAATGACAATAATTCACCTGTTTCTTTAAAAAGGTAGAATTTATGTTAAAATGTTTTGCTGTCATCCATACTCACTTTTTCTTTCTTTCCTCCCCTTGGTTTATTGTGTTTCCAGTTTTTAAAAGCAAATACGAGTAAATATTTTCCGACAGTTTTTTCCCACAAGAAAGTAGCATACTCTCCACACTGTTTTGCCCCTCGTTTTGTCTCAGCAGTTAACAGTGTGTCTTGGAGATCTTATTGGAATATAGAGAGCACATTATTTTCTTGTAGTTTCCTATTGTGTGGGTAGAATCTTTACAATTTATTTGATTCATAGTATCAGTCCCCACTTAGAAAGGGGATGGTGCATTCTGGTTTTCTGAGAACAATTTTGGTTTCTCTTTGCTTCTGATACAATATTTAGAAGCTGCCCTGTCACTCTTAAATGTATTCAGGTTTGCATGGTTGCTTCCCTTCATTTGCTGTGAGATTACAAAACATCATCTTCTGAGAAGTTGTTTATCATACAGATTTTCATTAGTCCTGATAATTCTTATATCTCATTATGTGTATTTGAAGTTTCATTTTCTGGGCAGCCTAACTTTAAAAGAGTTTTTATGCTTTTGTTAACTTTTATGAGTAATACTTTTTAATATTTGGGGTTTGTACTTTCTTCAGTTTTTCATGTAAGCATCCATTCACCCCCAGCCCCCAGACAGAGTCTTGCTGTGTCACCCAGGCTGGAGTGTAGTGGCATGATCTAGGCTCACTGCAACCTCTGCCTCCCAGGTTCAAGCAATTCTCCTGCCTCAGCCTCCTGAATAGCTGGGATGACAGGCACCTGCCACCACGCCTGGCTAATTTTTGTATTTTTAGTAGAGATGGGGTTTCACTATGTTTATCAGGGTGTTCTCAAACTTCTGACTGATCTCAGGTGATCCACCCACCTCGGCCTCCCAAATGCTGGGATTACAGGTGTGAGCCACTGCGACCGTCCATGTAAGCATTTTTATCTTTGGCTTTCCCTTCCTTCTCCCCTCCTTCCCGTTCTCCCCTTCTCTTTTTTCTAATTTCTCTTTTCTTTCTTCCTTTGCATCTCCTAAGTATCAGGAACTTTAAAGGAACAGGAATAGGTGCCAGATTAGAGTTTGCAGTGTGTAGACTGAGGATGAAATCTGTGTCTGTGTGTGTGTATGTCATAAATTAAGTAGGTAGAATTTATAGCCTGAATTAGTGATACATGGAACTTTTGCCACATTTTTTGAGGGGTTCCAGTTATCATATACAGTTCTTGACTTAAAAACTTGATTTAAAGAACTGATACATCTTTTAAATTATTCGTGCTTGAAGCAAAATGACAAGAAGAGGATAAGTAGATAGATACACCTTAAACCTTTGATGTTTTTTGATGCTCAAAAGAAATCCCACCTATTGGTGAGTTCTGCATGCCACCTTTCTTTGAGATGGAGGCTTGCTCTGGTTGCCCAGGCTGCAGTGCAGTGTTGCAATCTTGGCTTACTGTAGCCTCCACCTCTTGAGTTGAAGTGATTCTTGTGCTTCACCTCCAAAGTAACTGGGACTACAGTTGCACTGCCAAGCCTGGCGTGTGTGTGTGTGTGTGCGTGCGTGCGTGTGCGTGCGTGTATGCGTATGTGTTTTTAGTAGACACTGGGCTTCACCATGTTGGCCAGGTTGATCTCGAACTCCTGACATCAAGTGATCTGCCTGCTTCTGGCTTCCAAAGTGCTGAGGTGATAGGCATGAGCCACTGCACCCGGCCTATTTTCTTTATGTTTCAGTTCAGTGATTTTCAAAAATACGAGTAACGGCCTATCAAAATGAAATAGTATACATGATGTTTGTGTCATTTATTTTTGATATTTCTAAGATGATTTGACTTCTAAGAACTAGTAATGTCAACTTAATATTTATATCTTGACTTCTGTAGAGTCTGCAGAGTATGCCTTGGTTATGTTTTATATTTTGCTATAATTCTGCAATAATTTCTTTTCTCCCATAGTTTGCTTATGCATGCCGAAGTATCTATATATCACATGTATTGTATCAGTAGTTTTGTATTTTTTTAAGCACTAGAAAAATTGACTTAAAATACATTGTGCTGGCCGGGTACCAGTGGCTCACTCCTGTAATTCCCGCACTTTGGGAGGCCGAGGTGGGTGGATCATGAGGTCAGGAGTTCAAGACCAGCCTGGTCAACATGGTGAAACCCTGTCTCTACTAAAAATACAAAAATTAGCTGGGCGTGGCGGGCATCTGTAATTCCAGCTACTCAGGAAGCTGAGGCAGAGAATTACTTTAATCTGGGAGGCAGAGGTTGCAGTTAGCTGAGATCACACCACTACACTCCAGCTTGGGCAATAGAACGAGATTCCATCTCAAAAAAAAAAAAAAAAATTACATTGTACTTGGCATTAAATAGAATGGTGAGGCACTTTGAGGTAGTTTTGAATTCTGCGTGTTTGCCTATGGATAGAAAAAAGGACATTTGCCTATGGATAGAAAAAAGGACATACAAGGTGGTGGCTTGCACCTGTAGTCCCAGCATTTTGGGAGGCTGAGACAGGTGGATCATTTGAGGCCAGGAATTTCAGACCAGCGTGGTGAACAGGGCAAAACCCATCTCTACTAAAAATACAAAAATTATTCAGGTGTGCTAGTGCACACCTGTAGCTCCAGCTACTCTGGAGCTTCAGGCATAAGAATCGCCTGAATCTGGGAGGCAGAGGTTGCAGTGAGCCGAGATTATGCCACTGCACTCCAGCCTTGGTGACAGAGTGAAACCCTGTCTCGAAAAAAAAGAAAAAAGGATGTTAGCATATTTAACTATGCTTAATAAATGAAGTACTGCAGTGGGTCCTGACAGACATGCCGTACATTTAATTATCTTGTCTCATGTTGTTAATTATTAGAATCTATTTTCTTATCAATTGTTATTATGTTTCTGGAATGTAAGTGATTTACAAATAGCAAAAGTACAGATTTATGAAGTTTTTTGGTAAGTGAATTTGATAACTTCAGTTTGATTAGTGAAGCAGAATTGATAAGGTATTTAGGTAAACATAAGTATCCTCAAACTGAGCACAATTTGATTGTGTTCTTAAATATTTTAAATTTCTTATCCACATATTTAAAGACGTGGGCAGACCTAACCCATCTTGGAAGTGCTTTGATTTTTCTCCTGATTTTGCTATTTGAAGGAAGCAAAGTTTATCCAGCACTTAATTATTTTATAGTTTCACCCCATTAATGCAAGTATTTGGCTATTAGAATCTTTTCCAGGTAGTAGATATTTTTATTAATAATATGAGAGAGAGAGAAGTGGCTGGAGGTGGTGAACAGGGAGTGCTTGAAGGATGATCCAGAGTCAAGTGGATTTTGTATATAGATCCTTAAATGAATGAGAATCCGGTAGAGTGGTTTGAAGATGGAGGTGATAACGATGTTTCTTTATACGTTTGAGAAGGCAGGTAGCAGCATTCTCCACAAGCTGGAGTCTGGAGAGCAGGCATTTCACGAGGCCCTAGAGAAGGGAATTACAGCAGTCAAAGAAAGAAGAGATGTAAGTATGGATGAGGGTTTTCCATAAGTGAAGTTGAGGCAGCTGCATAGGTAGAGCAAGGTCAAAATAACTTCTGAACAAAATAGTGTTGATAAGCAGAAGGTCATGTTGACAAGGAGAGGACCAAGAAAAACTTTGAATATTAGTGTGGGGTAAGAGAGCATTTTAACCCAACTTCTTTAATGCTTTCTCTAGCTCAAAATAATTGAGTCAGTTCTTAGTGCAGGAAGTTACACTGGGAGGCCTGGAAGTTGGGAGGGGAAAGAAGAAAACCCAACAGGCAATTGTTCGTCGTATTTTAGTTGACTATTGGTGAAAATAGTAGAGACTATCAATTTCCATAAAGCTTATTGAATTGAATATAATATATTCAATATAATCAAGTATAAGGCTTTCATAGTTCCTCAGAGCTATTGACTTTAGACACAAAATGATTTTATTTTATTATTTTTTTGAGAGGGTCTCACTGTGCCACCCAGGCTGGAGTGCAGTGGCATGGTCATAACTTACTGTAACCTCGAACTTCTGGGCTCAAGTGATCTTCCCACCTCAGTTTCTTGAGTACATGGAACTACAGGCATGTGTTACAATGCTTGGCTAATTTTTTTTTTTAATTTTTTTTGACAGAGTTTCCCTCTTGTTACCCAGGCTGGAGTGCAAGGGCGCAATTTTGGCTTATTGCAACCTCCACTTCCCGGGTTCAAGCGATTCTCTTGCCTCAGCCTCCTGAGTAGCTGGGATTACAGGCATGTGCCACCATGCCCAGCTAATTTTGTATTTTTTGTAGAGACGTGGTTTCTTTATGTTGGTCAGGCTGGTCTCGAACTTCCAACCTCAGATGATCCACCCACCTCTGCCTCCCAAAGTTCTAGGATTACAGGCATGATGCTTGGCTAATTTTTTAAAATTTTTGTGGAGACAGAGTTTTGCTGTGTCACCCAGGTTGGTCTTGAACTCTTGGCCTCAAGCAATCCTCCTGCCTCAAGCAATCCTCCTGCCTTGGCCTCCTGAAGTGTTGATATTACAGATGTGAGTCACCACACCTGGCCCCACAAAATGATTTTAAAAAGTGTGATGGAACATATGTTAAAATAGTCCAGTCATGGTAGCTCACACCTGTAATCCCAGCACTGTGGGAGGCTGAGGTGGGTGGATTACCTGAGGTCAGGAGTTCCAGACGAGCCCGGCCAACATGGTGAAACACTGTACTAAAAATACAAAAATTAGCCAGCCATAGAGGCATGCGTCTGTAATCACAGCTACTCGGGATGCTGAGGCAGGAGAATTGCTTGAACCCTTGAGGTGGAGGTTGCTGTGGGCTGAGATTGTACCTTTGCATTCAGCCTGATTGACAGAGCAAGACTCCATCTCAAAAACAAATAAAACTATGTTAAAAATAATAATATCTCTGTACCATAAAAGAGTGAGCTGAATAAGTTTTTCTTCTCGGTTTTAAAAGTCTTCTTTAAATGTTTTTCTGGTATTTTGCTTTTGTGCCCAACCTTTTATTAATAAACCAAAATAATTCCCATAATTCCTTTCCCTCGCCGTTATTTATTTATTTATTTTAAGACAGTCTCTGTCTGTCACCCAGGCTGGAGTGCAGTGGTATGATCTTGGCTTGCTGCAACCCCTTCCTCCTAGGTTCAAGCAATTCTCCTGCCCCAGCCTCCTGAGTAGCTGGGACTGCAGGCGCTCGCCACCATGCCTGGCTAATTTTTGTATTTTTAGTAGAGATGGGGTTTAGCCATGTTGGCCAGACTGGTCTCAAACTCCAGGACTCAGGTGATCCACCTACCTTGGCCTCCCAAAGTGCTGGGGTTATAAGCATGAGCCACTGCACTTGGCCCCCTTTTACACTTCTGAAAACCTTTTTTTTTTTTTTTTTTGGCCCGTGTTTTCCTTGCTTAGATTACCAGGTGGATATTAAGTATGTCTTCTCAACTTTCACTAGTTATTAAATACATAGATGAGGAAAGAGGATAATTTTCCATTTGATCTACTTTTTTTTTTTTTTTTTTTTTGGGGGAGGGGTTTTGTTTTTTTTACCCAGGCTGGAGTGCAATGGGGCGGTCTCGGCTCACCGCAACCTCCGCCTCCTGGGTTCAGGCAATTCCCCTGCCTCAGCCTCCTGAGTAGCTGGGATTACAGGCACGCGCCACCATGCCCAGCTAATTTTTTGTATTTTTAGTAGAGACGGGGTTTCACCGTGTTAGCCAGGATGGTCTCGATCTCTTGACCTCGTGATCCACCCATCTCGGCCTCCCAAAGTGATGTGATTACAGGCTTGAGCCACCGCGCCCGGCCATTTGAACTACTTTAAAACCTGATCTGTCATTTGAGATTTTCACCTTTGTGTAGAAATCTTACCTCTCAGTTAATCACTTAGGCCCATGATTTTTCAGTCCTTATCAGCATTATACATGATGTGGGATAGACTAGGGAAGATATTTACAAGCACACGAATTATACAGAGTATGCTGCATGTACTTTAAATGTGAACTAAATGCTTCACTTTTTATTTTTATTTTTATTTTATTTTATTATTTATTTATTTATTTATTTATTTTTTTGAGACGGAGTTTCGCTCTTGTTACCCAGGCTGGAGTGCAATGGTGCGATCTCGGCTCACCGCAACCTCCGCCTCCTGGGTTCAGGCAATTCTCCTGCTTCAGCCTCCTGAGTAGCTGGGATTACAGGCACGCGCCACCATGCCCAGCTAATTTTTTGTAGTTTTAGTAGAGACGGGGTTTCACCGTGTTGACCAGGATGGTCTCGATCTTTTGACCTCGTGATCCACCCGCCTCGGCCTCCCAAAGTGCTGGGATTATAGGCGTGAGCCACCGCGCCCGGCCTTTTTTTATTTTTTATTTTGAGACAAAATCTTGCTCTGTCACCCAGGCTGAAGTGCAGTGGTGCAGTCTTGGCTCACTGCAACCTCTGCCTCCTGGGTTCAAGCAATTCTCGTGTCTCAGCCTTCCGAGTAGCTGAGATTACAGGCACACACCACCACATCCAGTTAATTTTTGTATTTTTTAGGATAGGTTGGATTTGGCCATGTTGGCCAAAATCTCGATCTTGGGTGATCTCGAACTTCTGGCCTCAAGTGATCCACCCACCTTAGCCTCCCAAAGTGCTGGGATTACAGATGTTTGTTACCACGCCCGGCCTAACAATTGTTAATAATGACTTTTTAGTGACCCATCTGACTAGTGACCTCTATAGACCTGTGGTGGAGACCTCCTGCTTTAGCTAGTTTGTAGTTTGAATGGTAGATACTCTCTTCATTTATGTAAGAAAATGATGCTACATGTAGAAACTAGGATCTATTAAAGAAATGTAGAAACTAAAAGAAATGACAATTTTAGTTACAATGATAGGTATCATTGCTTATTATGTATAGACATTGCTGAAGAAGTTATGTTTATTAATCCTTTCAACCAGCTCTGTGAGGTAGTTAGTATAGCATCTCTATTTTATATGTAAGACTTGGAGAAGTTTAGTTGTTGGAAATAGGGGCAAGTAGAGATGTGTGAATATAGATATTTCTGCCTCTGATGCCTACCTTTTAACTATTGTATTGTACTTCATTTAATTTTGAGACAGTCTTATTCTGTCACCCAGGTTGGAGTGCAGTGGCACAATCACGGCTCTGTGTAAGCTCGACCTCCTGGGCCCAAGTGATTCTCCTACCTCAGCCTCCCGAGTAGTAACTATAGGTGCATGCCACTATGCCTGGCTAATTTTTGTATGTGTTGTAGCGACAAAGTTTCACCATGTTGCCCAGGCTGGTCTGAAACTCCTGGGTTCAAGGATTCCAACGACCTCAGCCTCTCAAAAGTGCTGGGATTATAGGTGTGAGCCACTGTACCTACCCTGTATTATATATTAAAATAGGCATTCTGTACTTGTTGATTAGGAGTGTGATAGAATATCACAGTGTAATTACCTTTCTTTTGGTTGCAGTTTTACTTTCTGATAGTATTCTAGTATTCTAGCAACTGTTTTTGTCTATCAGGAAAAATACACTGTTACATGTAGTAAACACATTTATTCTAGATATTTATATTGTATTTTTCTAGAATGGAGAAAAAGCATACTTTTATTGTTCAGCGTCTTTAATGACTAGTATTAAATTATATTAAGCCATTCTATAGATAGATTCTTCTTTGGGATAACTTAAAAACTCATTTGAAAATATTTTGCTGGTTTTCCATCTCCAGTATTTCAGTATCTTTTTACTAGACTGATTACCTACCTAGCCATTTTGATAATGGAGGGTGTTTTAGAGCTTCTGCTAGCAAGAGAATTATAACCTTGACTTGTGCTTACTGGTCAAAATATGAGTCCTTCCTTGTAGAATCCCATCTCTTCATAAATAATTCAGTCTGAATCACTTAGAAGGTATCTGACATTTTCTAAAATGTAGCTAACATCTTAAGGCAACATTTTTTTTGCCCTTCTTTTTTCACACTTACTCTGTATTAAAATGACTTAAGACATCTGGCAATCAGATTAATTAGAAGTCTGTTGTAAGTGTTACATTTACCAAACTAGTTAGAAAATTAAGTTTTCTTAATGTTAATTATACCTTATAGGTTTACTTATATTCCTAGTGATATGCCAATTTTGCAGTCATTACCTCCTGCTTCAAAATGTTACATTTGTCTGGTTGCAATTTTATTTTGATATGAGAAAGTTGGCAGTTACTTACTCCACAACAGACATTGGTCCTAGGAAATCAGAAAATAAAAATGAGTTGTTTGTGTTCAAAATTTTCATAGAATAATATGTCTTAGACTTGCTAATTAACAGTTTCATTACATTTTAATTCTGAATTTCCTTTTATTTATATAGGTTAATGAACTTTCTGAGGAAGAGGAAGATGAAAAGCTGGGTCATATTGAAGAACTTCCAGAAGAGGGTGCAGAAAAATCAAATGACATGCCAGAGGTGGTACAATTAAGGATGACTGAAAATGTCTTGGAATCAAATAGTGTTAAAGCATCAACAAGGTAATAGCTCAGTTGAATTAACTTTAGCTTTTAAGTATGTCATTCCAATTGTAGACTCACTCAAGCACTCAGGAATATACACTAACTATATGTGAAAGTTTGGCATTTGTGAGTGAAAAAGAGCAAGAGGTAAAATTTAAAATTTAACGATGTAGTCTTGCTAAGGAATTTTCAGTTATTAGTGTTAATACCTTTTTTCAAAAATATAATGTCTTACAAATATTACTTCTTAAAGTTTATTTGTTTTGTGTTAGCTTATTAATTGGGCTGGAGAAAATTTTAGAACCTCTGGAAGTAGCATCTTTGGAGAAGGATACAGTGGCTGAATTGACTTGTATATCCTGCTTCCAGGCTACAGTTAGTTATAACTAGGCTGTAAGGATGGAACTCTGATCCATTAAGATAGTGCTTTCCAATTGTTCTCATGTATAAAATGCCAATATTTACATGGCATACTGGATAAATTCGATAAATGATAAATGTGGTAGGCTGAAGGCCTTATCACAGCACACAGCTGGGACCATTGGACACACTATTAAGGAAGCTTTAGAGAGTTCAAGAGAAAGAGTGAACCTTTCTGTGGCTTTTGATAAATATTTCCAGACTACTTAAAGGACATGACCCAGTTTACATTGTCATACTCGTGGATCGTTAGGTCTGCTAAATTCTATGCTAGTTCTATGTAAAGCTCCGTGGTTTAGTAACCCTTTCTAATTAAGAGGATACAGCTATATATTTAATCCACTAGATATTTTTCATTTAATTTGTGTTCAGTGGAATGGTGGTTAAAAAGAGGAAGTAGGGGCCGGGCGCGGTGGCTCAAGCCTGTAATCCCAGCACTGTGGGAGGCTGAGGCGGGTGGATCACAAGGTCAAGAGATCAAGACCATCCTGGTCAACATGGTGAAACCCCGTCTCTACTAAAAATACAAAAAATTAGCTGGGCGTGGTGGCACGTGCCTGTAATCCCAGCGACTCAAGAGGCTGAGGCAGGAGAATTGCCTGAACCCGGGAGGCGGAGGTTGCGGTGAGCCGAGATCGCGCCATTGCACTCCAGCCTGGGTAACAAGAGCGAAACTCCGTCTCAAAAAAAAAAAAAAGAGGAAGTAATAATTTGAGTCAGAAAGCAAAATGTCATTTAAAGGTAACTGGTAATATCTAAGGGAAGAACTATCTAATGCCATTCAGGAAAATAACAAAGTAATTTTAAGAGTCTGCTGCAAAATACAACTATTACATTTCTCTGTAGGCCTCTGGATCTTTATATTATGTTTGGTTTCTTCAAATGTGATCATAATTCTGATATATTAAAATGTTTATTCTCTCTGTTCCCTGATTTAACATTTTGTTTTTGCTTTTATATGTGTTTACGTGACCTTCTAATATTTTTGATGATCTCTTAGCTGTATTTTAATTATATATTAAGATATCTGTATGTTCAGATATTATTTGCATTTGAACTATTGTTCTTTTTTCTTGATATTTTGAACTGTTTCAGCTAGCTTGTCAGTACTGTACTGCTACTGAAAAAACCCACCTTTGTTCTTTGGCCCTTTTTTCCTTCTTTTAAATTATTTGGATAAATTTGCTGTAATCAAAGAGTGAACCTTTCTCTGGCTTTTGATAAATATTTCTGGACTACTTAAAGGATGTGACCCAGTTTACATTGTCACTTGCAGTATTTTCTTGAGGACCTTACAGCAATAAATTTAAATGGGTGTTTTAAATTTTGTTAATTATTATTATTTTTTTTTTTGGACCTGCCTGTTGCCCAGGCTGGAGTACAGTGGCACAATCTCGGCTTACTGCAACTTCTGCCTCCTGGGTTCAAGGGATTCTCATGCCTCAGCCTCCCAAGTAGCTGGGACTACAGGCACATGTCACCTAATTTTTGCCACCTAGCATTCACAGCTAATTTTTGTATTTTAGGAGAGATGGGGTTTCACCATGTTGGCCCGGCTGGTCTCAAACTCCTGGCCTCCAGTGATCCATACCCCTCTGCTTCCCAAAGTGTTGGGATTATAGGCATGAGCCACTGCACCAGGCCTCTAATTTTGTTAATTAGAGCTCTCCTCTCTAATAAGGTGGCCACTATCTCCTTCTGTATATTTATTATTATTTAATGACAGGGTCTCTTGCTCTGTCATCTAGTCTGAAGTGTAGTGGCACAATCACAACTCACTTAAAGCCTCCACTTCCTAGGCTCAAGCAATATTCCTGCCTCAGCCTCTTGTGTAGCTGGGACCACAGGTGCTCGCCACCATGCCCAGCTAGTTTTTGTATGTTTTGTAGAGATGGGGTTTCGTCATTTTGCCTGAGCTGGTCTTGAGCTCCTGGGCTTACAGGTGTGAGCCACTGTGCCCGACCACTAGTAGTGGTACAACATAACTACTTTTTGGTGGTATCTGTTGCCTTGTTGTAATACTTTTCAGTACATTTAAATGTAAACTTAAACTAATAAAAATTAAAATTTAAAAATTACTTCCATAGTGTGCTGACCACATTTCAAGTGCTCAGTAGCCACACATGTATCAAGTGACTATCATGTTGGACAGTGCAGATATAGAACATTTTTTTTTTTTTTGAGGTAGAGTTTCGCTGTTGTTGCCCAGGCTGGAGTGCAATGTCATGATCTCTGCTCACTGCAAACTCTGCCTCCCGGGTTCAAGCGATTCTCCTGTCCAGCCTCCTGAGTAGTTGGGATTATAGCTGGGATTACAGACATGCACCACCATGCCCAGTTAATTTTGTATTTTTAGTAGAGATGGGGTTTCTTTATGTTGATCAGGCTGGTCTTGAACTCCTGACCTCAGGTGATCCGCCTGCCTTGGATCCTAGAGTGCTGGGATTATAAGCATGAGCCACTGTGCCCGACCTGATATAGAACATTTCTATAATTGCAGAAATTTCTTTTGGAGAGTGCTGATTTAGCCAAGTGAATTCATTAAGTATTTACCAGCAAGTTTAAGTATTGTTTCAAATACATGTTACTCATAGCTTCTCTCTGATCATCTGTCTGGTTTTGTAGAGAATCCTCCTTTCCTCCAACATAGTCATTTTATGAGGTTTTTTTGTTTTTTTTTTTTGAGACAGAGTCTTGCTCTGTCACCCAGGCTGGAGTGCAGTGGCTTGATCTCGGCTCACTGCAGCCTCTGCCTCCAAGGTTCAAGTGATTCTCTGGCCTCAGCCTCTCAATTAGCTGGGATTACAGGCCTGTGCCACCACACCCAGCTAATTTTTCATTTTTAGTAGAGACGAGGTTTCCATGTTGGCCAGGCTGGCCTTGAACTCCTAACTTCAGGTGATCCGCCCACCTCATCTCCCAAAGTGCTGGGATTACAGGTCTGAGCCACCACACCTGGCCGGTTGTCAGGATTCTTTAATTGCGGGTCCTAGAAACATTCTGGTTAAAGTATAGAAAAAGCAATTTATTTGTATGAAGGATTCTGGGCTACGGTCAAATGGAAGTGCAAAGATAAGAACATGGGCAGCTTTGTGAAGGTTAGAAATACAGGGGCATTGAAGAATCTCTTCAGCATTTGGCTGTTGCTATGAGAGTTCTGTCTGTTATTCTGCTCAGAAGTAGATACCTGTAGGGTGGTGGAGAGAGGATCTGCCCTACATTTAGTTAGGTGTCTCTTCCCCTAGCCAGTGTAGAACTGGTTATTGTGATTTATGCGTATCTGAGGACTGTGTAGGATGGAGGGAGGAGCTAGTTTCCCATGGGAAAACAGGGTTATTGCCAAAATGTTGGAGTGGGGTTATTAGGCAGACGTGTCTACCATTTTGGTCTCCTAGATTTAGTGATGATATTTATATGTTTCCGTTAATACCTATACATTTTCATTTTATTTTAGTTTTGGCTGATAAAGTGTCTAAAGATTAAAAAGTGCTCATGACTACTTTTCCGGTGGTATCTATTGCCTCATTATAATACATTTCAGGTACTATAATGTCATCAGAGTAGAAGTATCTGCTGTTTTTTAGTTGACATTTATTTATGAAAATTTTAATTTAATTATTCTCTTGAAAGTAAAAATATCCATGGTGTGTAGTACCTTCAGACTGTTTTCAGTTTTTATTCTGTTTGTTATTAAAGATGCTCACGTTAGAATTTTCTATAAATTACCTGTTTTTACATTTATTTTAATGGCAACTTATTTTTACAGATGTTATTGTTTGAGATAGAGGCTGAAGATTGAAGTTGTTTATTGATGTGTCCTCGGAAATTAAAAGTAAATTGAAATGCATGCCATTTCATAAGTGGTTAATAAGACATAAACAAATGAAAAATTGAAGTGGAATGAAGCCTACAGCTAGTTAGAGAGAACAGATATGTTTGATCTTTTAGGCTTTCAGAAAGAATGATTAGGGTTGTAAAAATTTTTTTAAAGATATTTATTTTTGCATGTCTCTCTGCTAAACAAGGATATCCATTTTTTTTGGTTTGTTTTCACATGAAGTTTCACTCTCGCCCAGGCTGGGCTATCTCGGCTCACTGCAATGTCTGCCTCCTAGATTCCTAATTCTCCTGCCTCAGTCTCCTTAGTAGCTGAGATAACAGGTGCCCACCACCATACCCGACTAGTTTTTGTATTTTTAGCCGAGACAGGGTTTCACCATGTTGGCCAGGCTGGTGTTTTGAACTCTTGACCTCCACCGCCCATCTCAGCCTTTCAAAGTATCAGGATTACAGGCATGAGCCACCACACCCAGCTCCCATTGATGTATGTTATTTCTAATCTGCAGCAATCTACTTAAGCTTCTTGTTCTTGTTTCTTATAAATATAAAAATACTTCACTGAGTCTAGTTGATTTTATTAGTATAACATATCGGTTGTTTTAAAAAATAACAGATCATTGAAGCCGGGCGCGGTGGCTCAAGCCTGTAATCCTAGCACTTTGGGAGGCCGAGGCGGGTGGATCACGAGGTCAAAAGATCGAGACCATCCTGGTCAACACGGTGAAACCCCGCCTCTACTAAAAATACAAAAAATTAGC